CCTTGAGATGGTGGTGGACTTCCATAAGACGGTGGTGGACTTTGAGACGATGGAGGTGGTTGATGGCCTTGAGATGGTGGTGGACTTCCATAAGAAGGTGGTGGATTATGAGATGATGGAGGTGGTTGATGGCCTTGAGATGGTGGTGGATTTTGTGATGATGGAGGTGGACTTTGAGACGTTGGAGGTGGTTGATGGCCTTGAGATGGCGGTGGACTTCCATACGATGGTGGTGGACTTTGAGACGTTGAAGGTGGTTGATAGCCTTGAGATGGTGGGGGACTTCGAGATGATGGAGGCGGTTGATAGCCTTGAGATGGTGGATTTTGTGGTGATGGAGGTTGTTGATGGCCTTGAGATGGTGGTGGACTTCCATAAGACGATGGTGGGCTTTGAGATGATGGAGGTGGTTGATGGCCTTGAGATGGTGGTGGACTTTGATATGTTGGAGGTGGTTGGTGGCCTTGAGATGGTGGTGGACTTCCATAAGACGGTGGTGGACTTTGAGACGATGGAGGTGGTTGATGGCTTTGGGATGGTGGTGGACTTTGAGACACTGGAGGTGGTTGATAGCCTTGAGATGGTGGAGGTGGACTGTGAGATGGAGGTGGTTGATGACTTTGAGATGGTGGTGGACTTCCATAAGACGGTGGTGGACTCTGAGACGATGGAGGTGGTTGATGGTCTTCATATGGTGGTGGATTTTGCGGTGATGGAGGTGGATTTTTAGATGTTGGAGGTGGTTGATGGCCTTGAGACGGTGGTGGACTTCCATAAGACGTTGGTGGACTTTGAGACGACGGAGGTGGTTGATAGCCTTGAGATGGTGGTGGACTTTGAGACGATGGAGGCGGTTGATGGCCTTGAGATGGTGGTGGACTTCCATAAGACGGTGGTGGCTGATAGCCTTGAGATAGTGGCGGATTTTGTGGTGATGGAGGTGGATTATGAGCTGATGAAGGTCGTTGATGGCCTTGAGATGGTGGTGGACTTTTAGACGATGGAGGTGGTTGATGGCCTTGAGATGGTGGTGGTGGTGTTTGATGGCCTTGAGATGGTGGTGGTGGTGTTTGATGGCCTTGAGATGGTGGACTTTGAAACGTTGGAGGTGGTTGAAGATATTGAGATGGTGGTGATGGGTTGTAGCCACCGTATTGATTCGTCATTCTTCCACCAACAACCACCATAGGAGTGGTGGTCCATAATGTGACTATGATCAAAAGCACCAAATGTGACTTGTTTGGCTTCATCATCGAACCGTGTGGCATATGAAGTGAGCTAAGGAGGGTTTATATAGTACAACCAAGTGCTCTTAGATCTTATAAAAATTGTCACGTGACCATGCATGTGATATATGTCGCAAATAAAAAGACTAGGATTATAAGTGGGCCCCATTGATTGACGTTGCAAGTCCTTCATTTCTTGAAGAGGTTTGACAATCTTCTACTACAAGTTTGACTTTTTGAAAGCTTGGTTTTCCAAACTCCTTTTTATAATTAAAATAAAATGGATTTTTTTTATTAACCTGGATATTCAATCCGCTGTGCGAGTCGACTAATCTCAGGTCGACCACCTGCTTTGCAAATAGCGTGGAGTCCCCGCATTTGAACTTCCGTTGTCATAAGGGGATTTTTAATCCTCCTTGGATTTGAACTTGAGACCGTTTGATACTTTTCACCTTTGGAGCCAAGCTCAAACCAATCAGGCACCACCCTTGTGGTTTAAAATGGACTTTTTGAAAGCTTGGTTTTCCAAACTCTTTTGTTTCATTATATATATAATAGTACTTTTTTGTTTAAAAAAATGTTTAAAAACTTAATCGTTCAAAATATGATAGTTTATTGGGTTTTTTTTCAGGCTTTTTCCATTATTTTACCACATTAATCAGTTTTATAGGTAATAAGAATGCATCTAACAGGTTTTAGAAAGTCCAAGGAGTTATTTAACATGTTTTGAATGTCCAAGAACTTATTTGTTCCGAAAAAATATTCAAGAATTTATTTGTTCCAAAAAATTGTTCAAGAACTTAATCATTCCAAACATTAAAGTCCATTGAGTTTTTTTTAGACTTTTCCCTAGTTTTTATAAGGATGTTTATTATATGTAAACTTATTATATTAAAATTAGATTAAATTATAAATTTTAAATACAAAAAGTAAGTATTAGTTGATACATGTGAAAAG